CCCCTCCGGTAGTTATTTGCTCTAGTATTTATTATATATTCCAAAAAAATTCTCCGTAAATTTTCAGCTCATTTGGAGATGTGTAGAATAGGTAACTCCGATGTAGCTTTTTCAGGCCCGAAATTCCAGCTGCCGGCGTTCTCCCTCTTTGTGTAAACCTTCCATATTATGAGAGAAAAGCCATTAGAATTGCTCCATAAAGCATTATTATGCATAAAAACATTATAAATAATAGTAGGAAAACATGATGCAAAATGGACGTATCACCCGTCGCTGAGCCGCACGGGCTTTGCCCAACGGTGAGGAGAGGCGGCGGCGGTGGGTGAGACGCTGGCAGCGGCGGCTAGGGTTTGCTCCCGGCCGCCTACGGGAGCGACCAGGGAGCAAGACTTTGTCGAAGATATCCCTAAAAATAGCTCCCAAAGCAATACTATATGATAGTTGAGTATGTGGAACTTCCTAAACAAAAGCTCTTACATAGACTCTTTCTGAAAATATGGTGAACTGCAATTGTTTCAATAACTGAGAACATAGTTTGTTGGTTTTGAAGAAAGTTTATGGTTCATACTTTAGCATTGTGGATGAATTGTTACTGATCATGAGAAGTTTTAAGATGATATGTTGCTATTATAATAAAGACCAGCATGCTACCATGTCCGCATTTTGTTTTATCAACACCTCTCTATATATATCTGTGTGGTCATGATTATCGAGTTTGGTATTCGCTTAAGGGCAAGTGAGGTCTAAGCTTGGGGGAGTTGATACGTCCATTTTGCATCATGTTTTCCTATTGTTATTTATTATGTTTTGGATCATTATTTCACTTTATGATGCAATTCTAGTATATTTTCTCTGTTAATTCGCAAGGTTCGCATGAAAAGGGAGATTGCCGGCAGCTGGAATTCTATACTTGAAAAAGCTACACGAGGATTGATATTCTCCGCAGCTCCAAATGACCTGGAAATTTATGGATGATTATTTTGGAATTAATAAAAGATACTAAAGAAGAATCATCGGGAGGGGACCCACCAGTGAGGCACAACTTGTGGGTCCACCGGCAGGCCTCCGTGGCCCTCCTTCTATAGGATGCCATTTGCCCTAGAAAAAAAACAAAGAGAAGACTTTCGGGACAAAATGCCACCGTCTCGAGGCGGAACCTGGGCAGGAGCACTTTTGCTCTCCGGTGGAGCGATTCCGCCAGGGATACTTCCCTTTGGGAGGGGAAAATCAAAGACATCAACATCACCAACAATCCTCTCATCATGGGAGGACCAATCTTCATCAACATCTTCACCAACACCATCTCATATCAAACCCTAGCTCATCTCTTGTATTCACTCTTTGTTCCAAAACCTCAGATTTGTACATGTGGGTTGCTAGTAGTGTTGATTACATCTTGTAGTTGATGCTATAGTTGGTTTATTTGGTGGAAGATTATATGTCCAGATCCGTAAGCATATTCAATACACCTCTAATCTTGAACATGAATATGATTTGTGAGTAGTTACTTTTGTTCTTGAGGACATGGGAGAAGTCTTGTTATAAGTAATCATGTGAAGTTGGTATTCGTCCGATATTTTGATGATATGTATGTTGTTCTTCCTTTAGTGGTGTCATGTGTACGTCGACTACATGACACTTCGCCATACTTGGGCCTAACGGAATGCATTGGGGAGTAATAAGTAGATGATGGGTTGTGAGAGTGACAGAAGCATAAACCATAGTTTATGTGTTATCCCGATAATGGGCTGATTTGGATCCATATGTTTCATGTTATGGTTAGATTTATCTTAATTCTTCTTTTGGCAGTTTGTGGATGCTTGTGAGAGGGGGTGATCGTAAGAGGGTTGTTTGTTCAAGTAAGAACAACACCCTAGCATTGATCCACCCACATATCAAATTATCAAAGTAGCGAATGTGAATCAACTAAACATGATGAACATGACTAGACGAGAATTCCATGTGTCCTCGAGAATGCTTTGCTCACTATAAGAGAGCTTTCCTTCTTGTCCTGCTATAAAAAGGATTGGCCACCTTGCATCACCTTTGTTACTATTGTTACTTGCTACTTGTTACGAATTATCTTGCTACCAAACAACTTGTTACCATTACTTTCGGTACTTGCAGAGAATACCTTGCTAAAAACCGCTTGTCATTTCCTTCCGCTCCTCGTTGGGTTCGATACTCTTACTTATCAAAAGGAATACGATTGATCCCCTATACTTGTGGGTCATCACTGGACATGATGAAGGCCTATGACAGAGTTGAATGGCAATATTTGGAGGCGAGCTTAACAACACTAGGTTTCAGCATGGTCTTTGTCCGGTTGATCATGAAATGTGTATCTTTAATTCGCTTCTCTGTTCGAGTGAATGGAGAATTGCTTCCCTATTTCACACCCTCTCGTGAATTGAGGCAAGGTGATCCGATTTTGCCATATTTACTCTTGATATGTGCAGAAGGTTTCTCTTATCTACTCAAGTTTTATAATGACATGCATATTGATAAAGGTATATATACAGGTTAGTTACAGGCCACCCGGGGTCGTAGATTTACTTTTTGCAGATGATAGTTTGATATTCATCATTGCAACAAACTAGAGTGCTGCAACACTGAATGCCATTTTGAGAATTTATGGAGAAGCTTCAGGGCAATGGGTCAACCGTGATAAGAGCTCAGTTTTCTTCAGTTTGAATACACCTACTCAGTTGAAGCATCAATTGAAATATGTCCTTAATATTGCCGATGAGGCACCCAACGAGCATTATCTTGGGATGCCCATGGCTGTTGGTCGCATTACAAGCGGTACTTTTGACCACATTCGGTGAGAAGGCCCGCGGTAAGATCCAGGGATGGTCTGAAAAACTTTTGGCATGTGTAAGACACAAATTTTTTTTGAAATCAGTGGTTCAGGCAATTCCCAGGTACTCGATGATTACTTTTCTTCTCACTAAGAATGTCTATAAGAGTCTAACTTCGCCAACGGCTAAATACTTTTGGAGCAGCTCTCTTGAAAAGAATGCGTTGCACTAGGTATTGTGGAAGAATCTAGCGACACCCAAGTGTAAGGGTGCATGGCATGGGTCTTCGAGAACCCCATCAATTCAATCTTGCGTTACTTGTGAAGCACAGATGGAGGTTTTAAACTAATCTGAATTCACTATGTGCAAGGGTTTTAAAGGGCCGCTACTTCGTCCCTACATGGATTTTATGCATGCAACTGCCCTAAGTCCGCTTCTGCAACTTGGAGGGTGATTATTGCTGGCAGAGAAGCATAGAAGACGGGTTTGATAAAAAGGGAGAGGGATAGGACTTCCATCAATGCTTGGGCACACAAATGGATTTTCGGGACGATTGCCATGTCCCCTATGTTGAAGCCACTGAACACCACTGTTCAAACAATCTTGGATCTTATTGATCCAGACAATTGGTCATGGCGGTAAGAGCTAGTCCGATCAATGTTCATTACCCGGATGTAGAGGCAATCCTTAATATACCTATCAGACAAGGGGTGGGGATGATTTCTATGCTTGGGCCTTTGAGAGATCAGGAAACTACACTATTAAATCGGCGTACCATGCTCTAGTGACTCAGAACAGGCGTCATGCTCTAGAAGAAGGGTCATTTATCGGCACCTCAAGAGATGAACAACATATGTGGAATGCATTATGGAAACACAAAGTTATCCCAAAAGTCCGTGCATTTTGGTGGAGAGTACTACAATGGATCCTTCTTGATGAGTGCACTCTAAAACACCGTCATATCGCAAACATTGACAGATTCAAAGATTGCTTGGCAAGGAAGGAAGATCTAATGCACGCCCTCATCCATTGCTCTCATGCACGACGCTTCTAGGAAGAAGCTTGTGCATGGTTCGGCATTGGGCTCCCTCGTCTACACCCGAAGTCTTGGGCTTGGGATACCTTATGTGACTCACGCTTTGTGGAAGATGATTGAGCAAAGATAATTACCATTGTGTGGATGATCTGGCATTCTCGCAACCGCACTAAGCATGGAGAAGAAAGGAGAGACCCGACAACGTCTATCAGAGCTACTAAGGAGGCGCTCACCCTCCTTGAACTTCCCCGGAGTCTTCCCATTGTTTTGCATGGGCATGATGACGACCACCGGAATCGGGGCGGATCAAGATCACAAGGGACGGGGCACTCAACTTCGCCGATGGAAGGGGGTGCGGGTGGCGTAGCACGTTCCTCGTCGACACTTTTGGGAGCCTAGAGCAAACCATACGTGGGTAATTCACACCCAATGACTGTTGAAGCTTTGTCGATGCAAGAGGGAGTTCGTTTGGCGCAACTACGAGGTTAGTTGCATGTAATAATGGAGGTGGACTGCCTGAAGTTGGTGACACAAATCAATGATGACCCCTCTTAATAGCGTGAGTTTTTCTACTACTCAAATTGAACCAAAACGAAAACCTTCGAGTTGCCTGTAAACCACGCATTTGATCTTTTTGAATTGGGAGGTCACACGACTTCATAATAAACTTCATGGAACCAATATCCTGAGATAAACTTTAGCAAGCGATATTAGTTCATCTAGCCATACTATCATGATATCATCACACCAAAATATAATTAAATGCCACATGCACATCTGTGCAAAGCGTGCCTGCACTTTCAATGTGACCTAAAGCTGGCTTGACGGAACTCCCAGTTTCTTAGGCCCTATTTGTTTGAGCTTTTGCTTTGCTTTTACAGTTTTTTCACTTTGGCCAAAAATCCATAAAAGATCATAAATAGGCACTTTTGAAGCTTCTATGGCTTTTGGAGCTTAAATAGGTCATCAAAAGCCAAAAAATCTCCGAAAGCACCTACTTAGAAACTTTTATGGCTTTTTGATCTGGAAAAACTGTAAAAACAGAAGCAAAAACCCAAACAAACAGGCCTTAGTGACCAGCCTTCTGTCTCACTGTCCGTGGAACACTTTTTTGAATAAAGCTCTCCTATGGCGGTTAGCAAGGCAATCCCTTCCCACCGAGGATGTCCGCGCTCACCGCAACATGTCGACCTCTAGCTCCTGTGCCTTTTGCGGCGCGAGGGATTCCTGGAGACACTCTGTCCTTGAGTGCTCAGTTGCAAGATGCGTATGGGCTCTGGAAGATGGTGAAACGGTGGACTGCATGATCGCAACGTCTGAACCAACTGCAAGACAGTGGCTTTTCACCCTCATGGCGTCCTTGGATCATAGCATTTTCGTCCGTGTGGCAGTCACTCTATGGACCATCTGGACAGCACAGCGAAAATATATACATGAGGGGATTACTCAGAGTCCGCAGGGCACTTCTCTATTTGTCAGCAGATTTTTGAAAGAGCTAGAGCTGATTAATACTACTCCCCAGCGCACTTTGCAGGTTGCCCCTCGGGCAAATGTGACAACACGTGCAAGACCCAAAGCGCCACCGGTGGGATACGTCAAGATCCATGTAGATGGTGCTGTTCTACGCAACCGGCGAGGTGCCGCGGCGGCTGTCTGCCGTGATCAGGCGGGTAACTATATGGGAAGTTCGGCACTTGTCGTTCCAGGGATAACGGATCCGCCCACGTTGGAAGCAATAGCGTGTCGTGAAGGCCTTGCTCTGGCGGAGGATCTTCTCGTCATGAATTTAATCATCGCTTCGGATTGCAAACGGGTTGTTGACGACATCAATCTTGGCAACCAGGGCACTTATGGTTCTGTGATCACAGAAATTAAATTTCATTTTTTGGATTTCACTTGTAATTTTGTTTTTGAAAGCCGCTCTTCGAATGGCGAAGCTCATAGTTTAGCTAAGCATGCACTTTCTTTCGGTGCGGGGCGTTACACTTGGTTGGTTAACCCCTACAATCCGATTCGTATCCCACTCCATGTGGATTATCATCAATAAAGCTTAGTTTTGCCCTAAAAAAAAGCTCTCTGAATTAAAAAAAAAAACCCTCAGCCGCATATTTCGGCCTTTGACTATCTTTCCTCTTTTCGTTCCCGCGCGGAAATCCCCGCCCAAGCTCCAAATCACACCCCCACCCCGCCCAAACTCCTCTTTTCGCATCCCAATCAGCCATAGCTGCATCAGAGTCGAGGCTCGAGTCTCTGCTGAATATCCGCGAACCATCCGAGCAAGTGGATCACCAGATGGGAAGACCACGGAAGACGAAGGCGAAGGCCGGCGGCGCCGAGGCCCCCTCCCCCGTCCTCTGCATCGGTACGCGGAACCCTACCCCCGACGCGGCGATTCCCCAACCAGGCGGTAGATTGTGCCTCACCCACAAGGCGAAACCACCCGTTTTACAGGCAACTGCAAGGTGGAGATCCATGGGAGCGGCCTAAGGTGCGTGTCCACGGAGCAGAATCTCACCATTTCGGGGACCAGGGGCGCAAAGATCGTAATCGCTGGTATGGCGCGAGGAATACCGTGCTCCCCGTATTTTCTTTCTTCTGCTTTTGTCCTAGATGCTGTTCTTGATGCCACAGTTTCTTTCTCAATGATCCTTGTGCAGTCGATGGAGCCAGGAGTTCTTCGGATGGGACTGGTTAGTCTAACACTGTTGGAGGGGTGTGCGGGCCATTTTTCTTACGAGAGAAGAACAGCAGGGAAGTCCAATCAGTGGTGGCTCTGTTAATTGTTCTGATGTAGTATTTGTATTGTCTGTAGGTGAGGGTGCTGATTTCATCCTTCTGAACCCGAATGAGGCTGATAGCCTAAAAAAATCTTTGCTCCAGGTAACCTAACATTTATAACTTTTTTTACTTAGCTTTCTGTTGCATCAGGGACAAACAAGTGCTATCTTGTCTGAGTTTTACTTTCTGATACTGTAGAGTACTTGATTGTAGATTACACATTTTACAGAGATTTTCTCAGAACGCATAAATTGAAGGATTGCATGGATGCATATTGGCTATACACACTGGTACAGTTAGACATGAAGTTAACTTAAATATAGCTGTAGTAAAAATACTAGTTGAATTGTGATTACTGTGGCATTAGGTTTCTCAAAGCTAGAGTTCAGTTTTTAATTGGCTGATATAATACTGCAGGGATAATATTTAATGCCAAAGCATTAATGATTGTACCAAAAATATTGTGGTAACGTGTATTTTGCTCTTAATTGTTTAGGAAGTTCTGAGGCTTTATAAGAAGGAACTTCCAACTATGGACTATGCTGCTGACACTGGGAGAAAATCAGGATTTCTCGAAAAATGCATAATGAATGGGTAAAATTCTTCTTCTATTTAATTGATAGCACCGGCGAAATTCTTGCCGGAGTTTTTGCTTTGACATTTCTATTTTGTTTGTTTGTAAGAACACAGGGAGTAAATATTATTACTATGCTATTGTTCGGAAGGGTAGAAAAAAGAGTTAACATTATGGTTTCATGTTCGTTTCTTCCCCAGGAAGTACAAGACTCTAATTCTGAGGTCTAGTTCACTTGATGGGCCTGAAGAGGTAAGCATTAAGCATCATTAGTACCTTACCCACGCATCGCCCTATTTGACCACATAATGCATAAATACTACTCTAGATTCATTTATCTGCCCACTCGCTTTACGTTTCCAAGTAAATTACACAAATATTTGCTGATACAAAGTATGCCGAAATAAAAAGGATAGAGATGATTTGAAGACTTCTCTACATCACATAAGCATCCCCAAAAGGGAGCAGATGAGATTGCAGATATGTGTTCGATTTCACTGATGTACTATAGTGCTTAAATGATTTGAAGACTTGTACATCTACATAAGCACCCCCAGAAGGAAACTTATGGAATTTATATGTATAATGGAGTTGTCTTATTATTGCACACCTGATAGTATTTGTAGTATTTTTATAGTTTGTTAATAGATTAATCAATCTGATTCATTTGCACCTATAAACCCACCATGACCAATGGTAAAGATAATTTTGTCAATGTGAATGAAAGTTGTGTATGTCATTTATCATCTCACTTATTTGCTTTTTCACCCAAACATAAAATCTCACTCCATCCTTTCTTTGCTTTGGTTCTCTCACCGCTTCTCAACCATCTGCCTCTGATTAGACTGCTTGAACGGTATATCTTGTCGATGGTTGCCACTTCGATGTTATTGTTAAGCTTCATGCACTAGCCAAGCGACTAAAAGTCCGAGCTAACAGAAAGGGCTAGGCAATCCACATATACACTTCAACAGTTTATGATACATGCAGCTTATGCGATCTTTACTGCGATGCTATGATACATGTAGCTTATGCAATCTTTGCGATGCTATGATACATGTAGCTTATGCGATCGCCACTGCGATGTTATAATTTAGCTATGCTTCTGGGGTAAGTTTTGTGAACTGGTGGCAGCAGGCCATTCACTCCCCCCCCCCCTCCCCTAGCGGTCGCAAAGAAGGGCACTTTGGTGATTATGCTTGCGGCTTGGTGGATTTGGAAGCAGCACAATCCCGTCGCCTTCTATGGCATGCAGCCCAACATTGGTACCTGCTTGACACAATAAAGGCCTAGCCTGGTTTGGGCAAAAGCAGAGGTGGTGGGCTTTGTGGTGCTACTTCTGGTGGTGCCTAGCTCTTAGGGGTGCAGTGTTGTAAATAATTCTGGGTGTGGCCCTTTCTGGGCTTGTAAATAAGTCTTTATATCAACGCAATGAGGCACAACACTTCTATTTTCTCAAAAAAAATCTATAACTTATTTTTATATGGACACATTTTGTACACTTCTTATGTATAGTTATAGATAAGATTATCACTTAGATTATACATTTCTTTTACGGACTTCTAAATCTCAACAATTATAGCTAGGATCCACCATAACCAACCGCTAGATAGTGGCTCGTGATATTCACATATTATCAACTCACAGTTTTCTACATTCTCAACAGTTATACTACTTGGCCACCACACATGTTAGGCATATTTTACTAAACACATCAATTTGTGGGAGATTTGTAAAAAACTCTGTGATAATTGTACTTTTTGTGAGAGCACAGTTTATCAAATGTCAAATTTGAAATCACTATTACATCTAGCTTGCTGGATTAACTGAAACAGAAAACATATTTTTCTTAGTTGAAACAGAGATGCAACTTACCACGTTCAGGACCCAGATAGAACTGTAGAGCGAGAAAGCAAGAATAGGCTCATTGGCTTGCTAATTTCATCCATGATATCACCCCCCTGGTGCTAACGTAGATAGTTGATTTATTATTAAATCTCAAATTTATAACTAGGCCTCGTTAATATTGAATGGAGCATATATTTTTGTCTATGTGGATGAAGTTGATTGTTTTTCTATTATTTTAGTAATACATAGATTAGATTATCTCAGAAAATGTGTGTGACTAGTGAGCTCTGCTAGTGGCTAGTGAAAACAGATAAATAACCTCGAACAACTGTAAGTACAGTGAAGTTGACCTACTGTGAACTTCTCTATTTATTTATGTTAAAGTAGAACAACAATGTAAGAGCAGGTAATCTAGTATTCATGGATAATCGAAGGGTAATGTAGTATTTATGGATAACCGAAGTGTTACTCCTTGCTTTTTTACAACTGAACTACCATGCCAGGTTTGGTTTAAGTTAAAATCTTCTGTCACACAGATCATAGCTGCTGTATCATATCAGATAGTGCCAGCTGACACACAATATGCTGAAATACCCCTGGCAGCCGTGACATCGCCTTTTCAATGTGTGGTATGCCATTCATAAACCCTCTTAAACTTCAGAACTACCATCCCTTTTGCAAGATTCATTCCGATTTCATGTTATTAAAATTGAATACTTCTGCATGCCTTGTTGGTAATTTCTCCCTTACTGGTTATTTATACTACATACCATATATGGACTCTCATCATAAGTTCTTTATATCCTACAAAAAATCATATGGTATTTACAATTCATCTAATGTAACACATCTTACCCCTTATTTGACGGGAACACACCTTACCCTAGCTATCCTTGGATTATGAGGGAAGTAGTATATTACTAAAAGGTAGACAAGTCGCCTAAAAAAACTACTTCGTGGACTACAATTAGACCTCTTATGGCATGCAAAGCATTCAGTTATATCTGCTTGACATTCTCAGTCTAAATTAAAAAGTCAGTGCAAACTAATAATGAACACATTTCACTCATTTTATGTTTTCTTAGTAAATACCATTTCTGCACTCTAAAGTACACATGGTGAATGAAATGTACACAATAGTCTACTTTTTCTCTAAAAGGTTCATAATTAAGGTAGTTTTTTTAATATTATCCCAGGGTTTTGGTCATATGTTGTATAAGGAACTTAGCCAGCGTCTTCACAATGTTGGTGTTACCAATATATTCTGTTGGGCAGATAAGGTCTCTGAAGGATTTTGGCTTAAACAGGCAAGTGGAAATAGGAATTTGATATCTCTGTCTGTTTCAGTTTTCTTTTTGTATAATAAATATATCCTAATACAGAGCTTGGCAAATGCTAAATAGTTTGGTAATCTCGTGCTTGCATTGCTGGCAAGGGAAACATTCAGCAAATAGAAATGAAGAAAACATGCTTGACTTGTTATACGTTTGTATTTTGACATTCTGTAGTATCTGCACTCTTATGCTTCTAATAGGAGTTCTTATATAATTGTTCAATGCCATTAGCAACACTTATTAGCTACTCCCTCTGTAAACTAATATAAGAGCGTTTAGATCACTAAAATAGTAATCTAAACACTCTTATATTAGTTTACGGAGGGAGTACTTATAAGTATACCTGATCATGGGTGTCTGTGTCCCAGCTTGGTTTTTGGCCCGAAAGCCCAAGAGGAGTAGTTGATGGGAAAAGAATCACTATTTTATTCCGAAAGTGATTTAAATGATGTATTTTAGATCCACAAAGGTTAGCATTTACGCGTGCTGGCAATTTTGGGTTGGGCTTTTTGAATCCCAGATCAAAAGTCTGCCAGGCTCAGGTTTTGAACAGGCCTACTTGTAAAGCAACCAGATGAATTTCAGTTCAGAGTAAATGAACTTCCTTTGGTCATTTAAGTCATTTTTCTGTTAGTGAGTTTTTTTTTTACAAAATATCCTCCTATTTTGTATCCTATTTTAATAACATGGTTATCCAGTCAAGAATTGCAAGGTTATGCTAATGATATGACTGGTCTGTTCTACTGAGTGCATCACAGGGTTTTGTGTCTGTTGGAGAGGTGGATACTAAAGGTAAGATTCGCAGAATTCCAGTAAGGGCTGATATCAAGAGAGCATTATGCTTTCCAGGCAGTTCAACACTTATGGTTACACATATTAAGAAGGATTTGCCAACTGCGTCCAAAAAACCATGCTTTGCAGAATTGCAAACTTCTCAGCTCCATGCCGTGGTACCAGATAGTAAGTCTTCATGAAGTCATAATTATGTAAATTTTCTGGTTCAGATACCTTAGAGCTGCTAATTCCAGTAGAATTGGTCGTTACTTTATATCCAAGTTGGGCAATTAAGAACTCCATTTTTTATATAAATTAGGAGGAACCATGATACATAGTCTGGCCATACAGGAGCCATGATACACAGAATCTGGCCATAGAGAAGCGGCATGCCAATATATATCCAATGCAATAGTTCATTTATTTGCTCAAAGGAAATCTTTTATTGTGCAGATTGCAGTATGTTAATTTTGTGAATTAACAATGGAAGTTGTGCAAAGAGTGAAAAGCTGAAATTTTGAGCATATATTATGCTACAACTATTATTCATACATTGCAATAGTACTTGACAAGTCTGTAACTTATTGGTTTATCAAGTTTGATTTCATTCAAACCTTAGGAACAAGGACAATACACCTGGCTAAATCCTATAAGCATCGGTGCATATGCAGAAAATTCTGTGAAATGCCTAATACTGATCTTCTGCGATATTTTTTCAGGCATCTCTCCTGATGATATGAATACTGTCGTTCCCTCCTGTGAAAAGTTGTCTCCCCACACCACTGGATGCTACAAAGTCAGCAAGACTGCAAAAGTGGTAAGAAATGAAACTTCTGCTGGTAGTGAAGGATGCTCATTATCTGATCAACAACCAAAGAAACGGACATATGAATCCTCATCATCTTCACTGAAGTCAAAAAGAGTAAGATGCAGCGGTCACGCTGACCATACACAAGACATGAGGCAGAATGATATCTGTGACAAATCTCTGACCATAAATAGCACACCTTTGACTCCTAGTATGGTAGTCCACGTTGACAACAAAATATCAGGAGATGCTAAGGTCACTACCTGTTCCAATGGAAGGCCTTCAGTTATGCTCATGAATATTGCAGATGAAACAAAGAAGACGCGGCTTACAGAGGTAATTTCTACATAAACCTTACTTTTTAGGAAATGTGAGCGGCATTTCCAAAATAAAGCAATGTATGAGTATGTGCTTACTAAAGAAACTGTCACTGACGCACTGATGAAAACTGCAATCTATTTTTCTTTTAGAAAAAGTTCATACTCTGTTTTTGCACTAATTTAGTTATTTGTCTTGCTTCTAACTGTGTTGGATTTTAAATTATGGCGCAGGTAGTTGAAACGCTTGGGGGAGTTGTTACGTGCGAAGGAAGTTCATGCACACATGTCGTTACTGGAAAAGCTAGAAGGACTATGAACTTTTGTATTGCTTTGAGCTCTGGGTTAGTTTTCATCTACATTTTCCTTACACAACCCAGTTCATCACGTTTCAGACTATAATACAATTTCCATTCCATGTTTTACACTGAATTACATTTCACATATAGTTGTTGAAGCATAGTGCTCACCGTGGAGAAATAGTTTTCAGTTGACTGGGCCATATACTGATTGCAGGGCCTGGATAGTTTCTCCAAACTGGCTGAAACAGAGCTTCAAACAAGGGAAATTTGTAGGTGAGTCGAAACTTGAGATGGCTAGCTAACCAATTATTGCCATGTGTTTCTGTGCAGTGGAAGAAATTAAATGTGTGAGCAAAAGAAGCAACTTATGCTGTTTTCTTACCTTGCACTTTTCTGTTGTTTTGTAGGTGAAGCAGAACATGTTCTGGATGATGAAGAATATAAGATGAAGTACAAGTCTGAAATGAGAGATGCAGTTATGAGGGCTAAAGAGAGGCCTTGCTTGTTATTTTCTGGCTACACTTTCTGTTTGACCAAGCACATCGAACCGTCTCCTGGTGTCCTCTCTCCAGTTATCAAATCCTCTGGTGGCAAGGTAACTAAAGCTCATCCTGCCATGTGAAACTCATGTATGGTCAAACTTCTTGAACATGTAACAGATTTAGCAGAACTTATCCAATTACCATCTGACGAAACATTCTAGAACCTGGAGGCCCTATTTTTGTGAAATATTTAAGGGCATTCCAATTTCTACGCTCTATTATGTGAGGCATGAAGTTCTGCTGCAGCATCTTTAAATAACACATGTCACCATTGAAGTTCAAGTGCAAACTTATACCACTAGACATGTGGTTCTATTTATGGAAGATGTTTTAAAATGATTTTCTTACATACAGTTACAATTAAACTGCAAGTATTGACTAGATGACATTATTAGTAAGCTCTCGAGAATAAATTTGGTTCAAATTTCCAAATTTTGCATGAGTCTATTTGGAATGTTTTTGTTGTTAGTTCCTAAGAGAACATAATTACACAAGCTATTCTAAGCCTATTCACATCTATTTACTTCACAGATCATCAGTAAGCTTGATGACATAGATGAGCCCTCAAAGACAATCTTCTTGGCATGTGAAGAAGGCATGGAGCTTGCAATGGATGCAGCAAAAAGAGGCATAAAGACATTCAGCAGTGAGTGGCTCATGACCTGTGTCATGAAGCAAGAGGTTGATCTTGATGCGCCCCCGTTTGCAGAATCTCTCTGACGTGCCTCAACTTTATAGTTTAGTGGCCGAACTTATACTCACTTTTGCTAAGTTATCTCCTTCGTTGGCTATTGTAAATCTGGTGTCTCAAAGCTTTAGGGCATTTGTGTACATATGCCCGTCATGTGGCTGCATGTAGAAACTATCAAACTGGTCAACTTTCTGCATTGTGGCCTTGCTTAGATTTATTTTGTTATCTGCTATGCAAAATTAGTCAGTGAATAAAGTACAACTTTATGTGAAAAAATAGATTATAATCTAACTACAAAACACACCAGATTTTGAGTGGCTAAATCGGTTGCTATGTTTAGCAAATAACTAATTGAAAAATGATGTTTTTTTAGATTGCAAGTAGGATATGGATCCATAGTCTGATCCTCCCATAGGATCGAACTAACATGTCAATATAAATTTGTACCACCACAACACTATTAAACTTCCATCACATGAAAGATCAATTGTGTGCTGCCCCAAGATTACTCTTAAGTAGTTTCAGTGTAACATTCCAAAAAAGAAAAATTATATTCACTTTATTCTCCTATCATGTAACAGGTTATGGGATTTTAAACATACACTACACATATTGACTCATAACGATTACTTGAAGTAGCTATGAAAGTCTAAAAACCCAAACTGTGTGCGTTGCCATGAGGGCATACATATTCTAATGGTTCAACACCCGTGATGTCCAACATAAATCTTATACCCATAACATTCTAGATTTTGATAAGATTTGATTGATTTGCATATGGGTAGGAAAGACAAGAGATCAGCACGCGTTCCAGGGGGCCAAAAAATCTAGCGCCGCCAGCCTCCCTCGGCCATCCTCCTGCGGCCGGCGAGGTCCGCGGTGGCGGCGGGCTCGATGCCAAGGCGCTAGGGAGGGCGGATCTGCAGGGGGATCCCCTTGAGGCGGCAGGGGCATCTCTTGTGGTGCGCCCGTGGGCAGCAGGCAGGACGACGCTCCTAGCCTGTGCGGCGGTGGGCAGCGGTCCAGGACGGCGATGGGCTTCCCTTCTTGCATGGATGGTGGCAGCACTCCATGGATGAACCGGTGGATGGCTCTGCCTGAAGATGGGTCGCGGCAACCGCGGATCTGGCGTCCCGTCCAGATCCACCGCGGCGTGGTCTTGGTCGGCCGGCGATGCGTGGAGGGACCGGTGAGGCTATGGAGGATCTCTACCAGAGTACCAATAGCGGCATACGTCTTCATGGCGAGACTCCACACGGTTCTAGCCAGGCACGAGATCAGGATGACACGGCTTCCGGTGAAAATCGCGCCGACTGCGGTCTTGGCGGACGATGGCGGCGTCTCTGACATCGTTTCCTTCTCGAGGCATCGTTGTTGCAGGTCACGTCAACCTGATCGGAAGGTTTCGGGGGAAACCCTAGATCTGGCTACCGGATCAGACGATGACGACGTTTCGATGTCGTTTCCCCTGTTTTGGACCAAGTGCTGGCTGGAGGGGACAAGAGGAGGAGCGGTGTTTCATCTTGCCCATTGATGACGGCGGATCTCGGTGGCGTGGCGCAGTAGAGACTCTGTCGGCGTTCTGGGAACGGGGGTCCCTAGACTTGCCTGCCTGCGGCCTGCGGCGTGGCTCAAGGGGGGCCCAGCACGGCCCATCTTCATCAACACAGACCCAAGACCCTCGCGAGGGGCCAAGCCTCGCGGGGTGGACGACACGGAGCTTCCTCAGGCACGGCCTCATCAGGCTGGCTCGCGAGGAGGCGGAGAGATCAAGGCGGGGTACCTCATGAGGTGCCCGTGACGCAAGCCATGACGACCAAGGGCGTCAGGCGGGTGCCAGCCCGCGCAGTGTCCTCCTTTCCTCTTTGGTGCAAAGGGGGCAAGCGCAGCCGCGGAGTACCGAGGCATCAGGCAAAGGTTGCCATTTCGATGCAACGAGACCAGGACCAGGAAGACTGCAAGACGGAGGTCATCATGGAGCCGAGGACGGCGTCACCACCAAAGCTTTGTGCAGACGAAGACTACTTTTGTCAGGGTAGCTAGTACTAGCTGTCCCCCTTTAAATTAGCCCGCCATTGTTGGCTCCCTTCCCGCTCGATATTTGGGAAGAGGACCAGGGCCTCTATAAATAGGACCAGCCACCCACAGAAGAGAGGGGTTCGGAGGGGTTAAGAGGAGAGGTTCGATAGGAGGTTGAATCGGAGAAAGACAATGAGAGAGAGAAGGGTGGCTGAACTCCTCCCAGCAGTTCATCGCCCCAGCCAAGAACAGACCCTCGCGAGGCTGTTCTTCCTTGTATCATTCATCATCATCAGCCCAAGAGGCAATCCACCACGCCACAAACTGGAGTAGGGTATTACACCACAACGGTGGCCCGAACCAGTATAAATCCCGTGTCTCTTGTGTTGTTTTTTCCATAGCTTAGATCTTAGCGAGACGGAGGGGTGCGGGTAGGTAGGAAGCGAGATCTCCGCGCGCACCCCAGTGTTCGAACCTCAAGGGTCTGCCGGAACCCGAAATCCGACATTTGGCGCGCCAGGTAGGGGTGCGCCGGAATTCACCTTCTACCGCTTCATGCCCCGTCCCGTCGTCATCATCATGTCCGGCGACCAGGCGGGCAACCCAGATCCATGGGCGGCGTGGCCCGCCCGCACAGAACCGCTCGCCTCGGGCGACCCCGTGCCCCAGGCAGCTCGCGGTCCACAGGGCGCTGCGGGCCGCGGGCGACGCGGACAGGCTTCGACAGCTCCCACACCACGGCAGGCGCGGTCGGCAGCAAGGGCCTCTGTAGGATCTAGAAGTAGATGTGTCTAGAGGGGGGGGGGGTGATTAGACACTTAGTTCTAAAGTTGCAATTTTTAGGCCTTTTTGGTTTGAGTGGAGTTTTAGGCACAATTTCAACATACACAATACATATCAAGCAAGCATGCAAAGAGTATATGAGCAGCGGAATGTAAAGCATGCAACTTGCAAGAATGTAAGGGGAAGGGTTTGGAGAATTCAAACGCAATTGGAGACACGGATGTTTTTCCCGTGGTTCGGATAGGTGGTGCTATCCTACATCCACGTTGATGGAGACTTCAACCCACGAAGGGTAACGGTTGCGCGAGTCCACGGAGGGCTCCACCCACGAAGGGTAATGGTTGCGCGAGTCCACGGAGGGCTCCACCCACGAAGGGTCCACGAAGAAGCAACCACCCACGAAGGGTCCACGAAGAAGCAACCTTGTCTATCCCACCATGGCCATCGCCCACGAAGGACTTGCCTCACTAGCGGTAGATCTTCACGAAGTAGGCGATCTCCTTGCCCTTACAAACTCCTTGGTTCAACTCCACAATCTTGTCGGAGGCTCCCAAGTAACACCTAGCCAATCTAGAAGACACCACTCTTCAAGAAGTAACAAATGGTGTGTAGGTAATGAACTCCTTGCTCTTGTGCTTCAAATGATAGTCTCCCCAACACTCAACTCTCTCTCATAGGATTTGGATCTGGTGGAAAGAAGGTTTGAGTGGAAAGCAACTTGGGGAAAGCTAGAGATCAAGATTCATATGGTAGGAATGGAATATCTTGGCCTCAACACATGAGTAGGTAGTTCTCTCTCAGAAATAGGATGCTGGAAGTGTAGGCTTAGTCTGATGGCTCTCTCTACGAATGAAGAGGAGGTGGAGGGGTATATATAGCCTCCACACAAAATCCAACCGTTACACACGATTTACCAATCTCGGTGGGACCGAATCAACAAACTCGGTCAGACCGAAATAGGAAACCTAGTGACCGTTAGAGATTTTCGGTGGGACCGACTGGATCAATTCGGTGGGACCGATGTGCTAGGGTTAGGGTAAATCCAAAACTCGGTTTGACCGATTACTCAAACTCGGTGGGACCGATTTGGGTAATAAGTGAAACAAAGAGTTGGCCAAGCAAACTCGGTGGGGCCGATTGCATATCTCGGTGGGACCGAAAATATTGCAATAGGTAACAGAGAGTTTGCAAGCCCATCTCGGTGAGACCGAGATCCCATCGGTGAGAACGAACTGATTAGGGTTTCTGGCAGTGGCTATGACAGGTGAAACTCGGTGGCGCCGGGTAGGAATAATCGGTAGGTCCGAGTTTGGCTTTGGGTTTAGGTCATATGTGGAAGTGGGAAAGTAGCTGAGGATTTTGGAGCATATCATTAAGCACATGAAGCAAGAGGCTCATTAAGCAACACCTCATCCCTCCTTGATAGTATTGACTTTTCCTATGGACTCAATGTGATCTTGGATCACTAAAATGTAAAATGAAGAGTCTTGAGCTTGAAGATTTAGCCAATCCTTTGTCCTTAGCATCTTGAAGGAGTTCCCACAACCTTTAGTCCATGCCACTCCATTGTTGAACTTATCTGAAACATACTAGATAGAAATGTTAGTCCAACAAGAGATATGTTGTCATCAATTATCAAAACCACCTAGGGAGCACTTGTGCTTTCAATCTCCCCCTTTTTGGTAATTGATGGCAACATACATCAAAGCTTTAGGTAAAGATATAAAGAACAACAAGTAAAGCTTTGGAAGGACATGTAACAAGCATAGGCTCCCCCTACATGTATGCACTCATGTAAATATGAAATATAGAGGCATGTGAGAGCATAACCATGACAGAGTAGGCAATGTGTTACATGTATCTTGGCCATATGCATCAGAGCAAAAGATTATCAAGGAAAATACCTTCATGCTCATGAGTCCTTCTTGCAAACAGTATGTACATAAGCAAGAACTCCTCATACTCATGATTTTGATGCATATACTTACCTTGTGGTCTTGAGTTGGCTTAGGATGGAATGAACCTGCACAAACAAAGTTAGATAACACAGGTACATCCACTAGCCAGAGCAAGCAAAAGAAACCACAAGAATACCAAGACTGGGATGACATGTAGAGAGTGAGTACAAGGTACCACATTGGATTCAACATGTCCCCAAGAATAAAGATATGCAATGAATTTGACTGATTTCTTTCCCTTAGGTGTCTTGCTCCCCCTGAATCTTACA